ATCAGCCTGCCAAAACAATAAAAGGAGTAAATAGCCAGTGAGAAGCAACAGATGAGGGTAGCAGAGAGGCAGTGAAGGATTCTTTTGGCTTTCAGACCACCATGCCTTTGAGCGCTATATGAAAAGACCAAGCACTTCATCCAAGAGAGAACACAGAGAAAACAAACAAGCAAACAAATAAACAAACAAAAAAAAAAAAAAGAGAGAGCGGTAAAATGAAGACAGCCAAGAACACGCCGACACAGCACTGTCCAGAGAAGCCAACTTCAAGCCAAAACTCCCCGCCCTCTCGTCTCTCTCAGCTGCTCCCCATCTTCAACTTCACACTCTCTTCCTCACACCACCACTTCCCATCATCCTTCGCTCCCCTCTTTACAAAGCACGTGTGCGCCCGCCTGCACGCACACAAGCACGCAATCAGCCGCACAATCGCTCGCACGCCAACCTCTGCTGTGGGTATTTCTCCCATGGAGCAGCTGGCAGAGGTCCAGGCGGTGCCAGGCTGGCTCCTTTCACTGTGCCTAGCCCAGCATTCCCCCCTGCCAGCCCAGTGCCCACACCCCATTCTGCCAGAATTACCCCACCTAACACACACACACACACACACACACACACACACACACACACACACACACACAGGCACTGAGAAAGAACTGGCTGAATACCCTCACTACGCTGCCTCACTACGCCAGCAAAAGAAAGAACAGAGGACGACAAAAAACAAGCAGGGAGGGTGACTGACTGAGCTTACAAAAGACGAAAACAGGCTGAATATGGGGGAAGGATTCATGAAGAGGATTTTTTTTCCAACTTGGATGAGATATGGGCGTAATTTCTTTTGTGCGCCTTTGTTTTTGAGGATATCTGAAAAGCGCAGTGCAGGCTATACAGTACAGCGGGACTGAAGCGGAATACTTTGGTCACCTTTTGTCGCTTTTAGCTTGGTGGTTGTAGGCGGTTGGACCAGAACCAAAACATCGGACCCGGTGCCCTGCCACTCTGCTTGTATCATGGTTACCATCAGTCAAGGACACAACAATCTGTCTGTTGCTTAGCGGATAATAACGTCCAGTTTGACTTGTTTCGGTGGGTATTTAGTCTTTGTTACTTTCCGGTTCTACCCGTGGTCCTGTCTTTCTCACACGTGAAACTGAAGTCCAAGTGCTGCTGCCCCCCTCACGCAGAGACACGGGAGAGGTACTATCCCTGGATGCCAAAACTGGTGACGGAAAGGTTGATTTCCAGGCTGCTCTGTTTATTTCCTTCCAAAAATCCATTCTCTCCCTTTCCCTCTCTTTTCCTCTTCCCTCCCTCTCACTATTCCTCTTCCTAGCTTCACACAGGTTGGCAGGGAGTCAGACACGAGTCGTCGGAGGAGGCTGATGCTTTATACTGGTGCCAACTACCCTCTGCTGTATGGGAGGATGGGTAGGGGCGAGAAAGAATGGGGCAAAGAAGGGGAGGGGAGGAAAGAGGCAAGGCTGATGGGAGGTGGTCCATTTTTGAAAACAGTACGAGGTAAGTAAAGGAAATGATGCTGCCGTGGCCTTAAAACAATCAACACAACTTGGTATTGTGACATACATACATATGAAGCTACCTCTGTTCAGGCTGGGAGAACCGTCTAGACTCAGGAGAGTACAACTTTCAAGCCATCCATGCAATCCATACATATTGTAGCCTAGCAACAGAAACAGTTGCTATGGAGAAGACTATCTACTATAGCGCTGACTCCATTATCTTCCTCCAGCAAGATGGAGGCACATCCTGTTGGGGACTGCTCAAACAGCCAGTTTGATGGGGAAAGAAGGGGGGGGGGGGGTTCCTGCTGCTCAGCATACATGTATGACTGCATCTTGTCTTTGACTGTATAGTAAAAGGAAATTCATCTTGACATTCTTCCTCCACAGATATATCAGAGCAAATCCATCCATTTTCTATACAGCTGACTCTCTTCAGCATGCATTGGGCAAGACGCATGGTACACTATTCAGGGTCTCCAATTCACCGAAGTGACTGGGATGGAAACTTGAGCACCTGAAGGAAACCCATGCAGACACAGGGAGAACATGCAAACTCCACATTTAAGGTTGGGTCCAAAAACATTTCGTCCCTGCGCTGGGGCAACAGTGTTTATCACTGAGCCACAGTGCTGCCCATGAGCAAATCTCTCTCATTTATTTGTCCACTGTTTGTATACTTCATTTGCATGCTCTCCCACTTATTTACACATTTTTCTAACCCTCTGAGCTCATTGCAAAAGCCAAAAAAGCAAGGGCATCTGGAGACAGCAGAGATGAGAAAACAACAGAGAAATAATGCCAGAAATATATCTTCGCCATGAACCTGCTTTAAAGAGTTATGGAGAAGCATGTAACAGAGATTGATTTTGGTCAGCTGACCTCCCCCATCCTGTTTGGAAGAAATATTGGCAGTCTATTCTGCACTGACTCAAAATAATAGCTACTGTGCCCCTACCATGTAGCAATCTGCCACTGGATCATTCTCGCCAAGGTCACAGAGTACATTATACACACTGGAGCGAGGGAGGGAACAGAGGACACCGGGACGTCTGAACAAGGAATAAGGGGCTTCTTTAAAGAGGCAACTTTCAAAAACAGTGATTTTCATTGTACAGAGGGGACAAATGTGTCCACTCACTCACACACAAACACAAGGTTGGGACTGCACAGTGCATATGTGGAGCCAGTCCTTGCAACCCCTACATTACTCAGGCTTATTGGCCCACACTTACAAACACAGAAGCATGCTATTCCAACACACACATACACACTCTAGAACAACCCCATCCCCACCTAAGCTGCCCCCCACGGTGAAAGGGGAGGAACAGATTTCTGCCATGCGGTGTCTCCGAGCTGCTTCGACAGACGGAGCAGGAACTTACGACGGGGCGGAGCCTTCATGCGCATAATGCCCAGATGGGCCCCTGGACGCTGCGGCACCGTTTCCTCCTATGAACCTCACACCCAGCTCCCACAATGCACTTTGCGGTTGCTCATGTCTGAGTAGGTGATGACTGGGAGCACCGGGTTCAAATCGCACCATATTTCTCCTTTGTCGCAGACTCCTACGAGCCCTCCTGTCCCAAAATAGTAAGATGAAAAGATGAATGAAAGGACAAGACGGGCTGAGATGTGAGGGAGAGGTTTGACTGGGTGCTACACATCAAATATGAATGAAATTATAAATAGGTGAGGAAAAGTAGGAGTATAATGTCTTCATTTCATGCACTGATACTGGCAAAACGGAAACAGAAACTTCACTTTGGACTGACAGCTGAAACATTTTAAAAACAATAGTAACTGAAATGTCATATTCTCTCTGAGTGCCAGTGTGTCTCTGACAGTGCTGGGGACTTGATCCATACAGATTTGCTTTATCCCAATTTAATCATCAACTATTTGTAACACAATCCTACCATACATCCCAACAGGCTTTTTGCTGCCACTTCAGATTTTGTGGTTGACTCAGAGATTTCATCACTGTCCCCGAAGAGGCTAAAAAAAGTATTAAAGCAAGTGTACCTTAGACATACGTAGTTTATAAGGTTAAGTATAGAGATTAGGTTCCCTGGGGCCAAAATTCAAAAGGGAGAAATCACTGTTGATAAAGGATGTGACCTTACGCTGTGTGAAAATAATCCACTCAAGAATCAAACACATTTATGTGATACTTTATCCAAGATTCAAAGCAATAAAGTGGTAGTTGCCAACCTTTTTTATATTCTTAGACAGTGCAACAGAGAATATATTAACTGAAAAAGAAGCTGGCAGTTGTCCATCAAGAGTCATTGTACTTCATCCACTATTGCTTACTTAGGGTGAGTTTTCTACATCCAAAGTCATAAAGAGCTCAAAACACTTAAGTATACTGAACCGTAAACCGACACTGTTTCATCTTGAAAAAATTGCACATTTGAGCTTCAACTTACTCCTAAAGCCTTCTCATAACAACAGACTTTAGACATATCCTGTGACTATCATTTCAGGTGGTCTGGAATTGCAATGGTGTAGTCTGATCACCACGCCTTTGACATATCCGACAGACAGTGAAACCACATGTTTGGATCCACTCCAGACCAAACTTCATCAGACACAAGGGTTGTGTCAAGCTGACTATAGGCCAAAGATTCTCAATTTTCTTGTGTCAAGGGCTGCACAGGTAAAAACAGTTTAAACCACAGACATCGGCTTGAAAAAGGTTTTGTCCCTGGACCCTATAATCTTTTAAATTTATGTTATTTTTCTTCTGTCGTCTGTGTTTTTCTGCAGAATGCAGGCATTAGAAAAGTTCAAACCTGTGGTCACACAAGCCCTATCCTTTTTTCTTTCTTTGATGGTGCCAATTTCTATTAAAAGAACGTAATATTCTAGCCTACAGGTAGATTTTTATGTTAGCAAAACATGACTTGATGACATGATGCCATGCAGAATCTGGGAAAAGGAAAAACGGAAGTGGAAGGAAGCACCTCATCTAGTTGCAAAGGTCCTGTATGTCAGCTGACAACACTTATTTAAACATCCATCTTAAACTAAGAATGGTCTTACAACTCAATAACAACGGGACACTAGCATTTTAATAATGAATTCCATCAGACTGACACTGCAATACTGTCAATACACTCCTGAAGTCCTATTTCCTGTCATTACTTTTACATGAACTGCTCTGAGGTCAGTCGCGTGCGCTTATCACACGTAACTCAAGCACGTGGACAGTTTATCAGGTGTCATCCCGTGCCAACTCAATCCTGTTTGGAAACTACTTTTCACCGTGTGTCATTTACCTGCCACGACCATTTTCTCCTCTCTTCCCTTCAGAGCGCGGTCTCTGCTTGGCAGCTGAGTCTTATCTGACATTGTGTCCGCGGCAGCGATCGAAACACAGACTAGAAGGAGCCAAACTGTGTGTGTTTGTGTTTGGGAGAACAACTGTGGTGAAAATGGCCGAGTCTTCCGGGATGCCTCCATAACGCCACGCTGTTGCGTTGTACAGCGGGGATGGGAAACAGAGCGAGGGAGGGGTCGGAGAGACGGCGGCGAAAACGCCATCAATATGAATATTCATCGTGCGTGGGCAACGTCGTGCACTGCATATTAACTAGTCAAGGGGTTAATATGACTTTGGCACAAAAGCCTACAGTGCACCGTGTGCGGGAACGAAATTAAATTTAAATAAATATCCACGCCGTTCAGCATGCAAATGAGCTCTCGCCAATTATCAGCTCTCATTCTGTGGGAGGTGTTTCTGGTAGATCAGGTTAGAGTATGGATGTATGGGTGGGTAGGTTTCCCTTTGTGGTTCGTCTTACATCAAGGAACGTGTGTTTGGGATTAATCTGGACGAGTGACAGCTTCAAGACTACACTGTTAACAGCCTTTAAAAAACCGCTCTGTCCCTGAATCATATATTATACAAATGTTGGAAAGCCTCTGCAAAGAAAACAGTGGTTGTGTTCCTATAGAGACAGTTGATTCAGTCTATGTGTGGTACTATCTGGCACTCAGCATTGACCTTACGATTCTTTTATCTCCAAAGCATCAGTATGATTCATATAAAAAGCTATGCAGAGATTTATATGCACTGCCCACTGCACATGATTTTAACAGATCTTGTTACAGCACTATCGCATGTTGGGTCTCTTTGTCCCTTATTTTTTGTTAATTACACTTCAAAACTGTATTTTCTTTATGTTACGGTGGCCCTGAGCTGCACATACTCGCAACATAACCAAAAACACAAATGCGCTGCAAGTAGCACAGACATGGAGATGCACTTACATCCTTCCACACTCGTAGTTCAATGCTTTTAACTTCAAAAGTCACAAAGCATTGAACATCAAGTGCGCATACTACCATACGTCCATGCAAGTGCATCCCAGCCGGGTTCATCCCTTTTTTATGTCCCCTGGAAACACTTTCGTTGTTGTCTGTGCATTTGTTCGCCTAAGTTGCAGTGCGTTGAGCTCTCAGAAACACCGTAATATACATAATGAGAGCTGATTCGTACAGCTGTGTTCATCACATGTTTGAAGAGGGTGTCTTTGATGAGCAAGTTATGAAGTTTCATCACTAAGATAAATGATTTGTCTTCAAGTTATCTGGTCAGTCTATGGTATTTTCAAGACAAAAAAACAAACACTGAATCCTATGTCATTGCTGTAGTATAGAAATACAGAAAGTTGCAAATTGCAGTTGAAAGTCTTTAAGCAAGTCATATCAAAGATCTGGGTAACTGTAAAACTGAATGCCGATGTTCAGGATGTGTCTTAGTCATCAAAAGCTGGACATGATTCAGATTTTGGACAATAAAGAACAGAGCTGTAACAATTAGTCGATCGACAGAAAATGAACTGGCAACCATTCTGACAATCAGTTAATCATTTAAGTAATTTTCAAAATGAAAATTCCAAACACTCTCTGTCTCCAGCTTCTCCAGTGTGAGGGTTCACTGCTTTTGTCTGTTTTATATCAGTGTAAACTGAATATCTGTTCAGTTCTGTTCGATATCTGTATGTTACTGTGGACTCTGGGAAACTCTGTTGGATGTTTCTCCACTAATTTCTGATGTTTTATGAAGCAAACAATAATGAAATCAATCACTAGTCGCAGCCATAGACAGGATTCACCAAGAGTGTGAAATCACAGTGGTCGAAGACACTTACATACACCACTGCGACGTCCTTGGTTGGCATGCAAAAAAAGGTGCATGTCGTCCGTCTCTCACGGTGCCCTCACACTTACTGTCTGATTCTCTGCTGTAAACTGTCAAATAAAGGCAAAACATACCAAAAATAATCTAAGAAAAGGTCGCATGCATGCACCGGTCAGGTCACTCTCAGAAATGATTTTACTGCTCTCTGGTTTCATTTCACTACAGTCTGACCTGAAAGTGATGTGATTGTAATGAGGATGATTATTTAAGTGTGGGAACTTCTTGTGTATGCCATGAACCAACCAATCTACCGGTAACAAGAATTCAGGGCATTGTTCCTATATCCTCTAAGCCAGAATAACATCACACCCTGCTGCAATCCCCCTTTCCTCTCTCTCTTCCTCTTTCTCTCTCTCTTATCTGCTGGGGAAATGAAGCTCAATCACCTGCGGAGGAGCTGAGGGCGGCACAGGGGACTTTGCAATGCAAATGCCAGGTAATTACCCGAAAGCCAGGAGAGTGGAAGCACACAGATGAAAATAGAGCAGGCAGAGAGAGAGAGAGAGAGAGAGGGAAAGAGATGAACTGAACACTGGGTTCACATGCCTGTTGATGCAGGATGATTGGGGTGTTTTGGGGGTGTGTGGAGATGTAGGAAGAGGAAAGGGGGAGAGGAGAGGGGAGGAGGCGCTGCAAAGGTGATGAGAGCCACAGGGATGGATGGAAACCACATACATACATATAGATCCCACAATGCGTGTTAATTTCCCCCCCTGGTGTGTGTGTGTGTGTGTGCGCGTGTGTGTGTGTCTGTGTGTCTGTGTGCATATACCTCCTACAAATGATCAATAAATTTAGCATTTCCACCACTCTGTGCTCTATGCTGTGATGGAGGAAGGATCTACTTTTAATTCAGAGGAATATTGGTGGTGAATAAAACCTTTTTTTTTTTTGCATGAGTGCGGTAGTAGTTTGAGTAGAAGTGTGTGTGTGTGTGTGTGTGTGTATGCACGCGTGTGTACACTTGCATGTGTAAGTGTTTGTGCGTGTGTGTGTGTGCACGAGTCTGTTTGCACCATTGTGTGTATGCTCTGTAATGGGCACTCGTGTATGTAGTGTGTGTGTGTGTGTGTGTGTGTGTGTGTACGGCGGGTGATTGCATATGTTCGCGTGTGTGGTTTGTGTGTTGTACCGGAGGATTTAGTGAGTGTGCCAGCTTGCAGCTGTTTGATTGTCAGTGAGTGAGAGTAAAGAGATGTGCAGATGTGAGTGAGTATCAAAGAGATTATGAAATGACCTGGAATTAACCACCTCAGTAGATTTGAACTGGGTATCATGGCACCTTAAGCCCTCCGTTTGACTCAGAGGCGGTTGGAAAGCTGCATGTTACCTGGTTAAGACAGTTTAATGCAATTTTATTTAATAAGACAAAATGCTTATTTGTAATTCAATGTAGCACGCTCGCGTTTGTTTGATTGTTTGTGTGTTCGTGGAAGATATTACCAAGCAATAGTGTGACTCACAAGCAGTTTGCACCGCCACTCAATAGCTGCCTCTGATTAACATCTGAACAGAACAGGAGCCAGCCAACCAGAAAACTGTTTTGGCGATTTAGTGTAATTGTGGCTTTGCTAAAGTCTCACTTCGCCTAATTAGAATAATAAATCATGCCGCCTCGTTGTTTTCAAAGGGTCCTCCATCGTCTCGCCGAAGCAGGTGGGATTGTGGGATGGTGTGAAAAAACAAAGGGTTTGATTGCTCGGCTGAAGCTACAGTCAGTTAAAAGCAATGCGGCGCTCTCCGGGGGATTCATATTCAAAACTAAGCTGTATCAATTCATAGACCTGAGTGGGAAAAGCCAACTTGACAAATTTTGATTCATCCGCCGGCCCATGCTTGACTTCACTTGACATAAATCACTTGGCTCATTGGAGAATGGAGAGAATCTTTTAATCATCGAAGAGTACAACAAGTGGACACACAACAAAAAATACTGTGGAGGAAGCAATGCTGATATGTAATAAACCCTGTTATTCATATAGATTCTCAGCCATGACAGATGAACGGGAATTTTCTGTGAACTGTATTCTTCCCACAGTGAAGGAGGACATGCATCTCTGTCTCAACCTCCCCTGTTCAACAGTGATTACAAACTGTATGCGATCCTGTTTGGGCAGCCTCGTCTTTTTGTGTATTCTTCTCATTTGACGGTCACTGAGTCTATACTCGCTTGGGATGTGCCTCAGCTTCTGAGGAGACAGTTTGCCAATTTGTAGTATCTCTTTAGAGCCATGTAGCATGTCATTTTATTGTGAGTTTTGGATTTGTTATTTCATTGGTTCAAATAATTAGATTTATTAATTTGTTCAGTGATTTTGGTTCATTGAAAGATGTTTGTGGTGTAAGTGGTGCTTATGTTGGAAATCTCGAGAGTGCCTGCGACTGAAGGGTTTTATACGGCACTGCAGGGATTGTTAGGGACTAGATTTTAAATTTAATAGCCCTTTTTCAATATTTATCGCGAGTAGGAGGAGAAGCTCTGCTCTACATGAATTCTTTCTTTGTCTTGATTCCTTACCTGCACCCTTCAGACTTTATTGTATTAGATCTCTGTTGGATGTTTGTTCCTTTACTAAAATAAACTGGTTGAGCCCAGCACGCATATAAAGTTTTGTAGATGGGGAAATGACATGAACATAATTGTGCTCCAAGTGTTTGTATTACATAATTTTGTCTAATTTTGCTAGAAATCTGACCTGGATCAAGCACCTAAAAAACTGCAGTGCAGTGCAGCACTTGAGTAAATGTACTTAGTTACTTTCCACCACTGACAGCAGGTGGTATTCACTGTGTGTACTGATTGTAATACAATCCCCTCTTACACTAATTCTTTTTCTCACACATAGTTGTTGCATTTTTATACATTTCAGAATAGCAGGTGATATTGGAGGCTGCTATGTGAAAGATACAAGTAAAGGTAGAGGAAAGAGAGAGATAAACGCAGAAAAAAAATCTGAGCAAGCTGAGTGCGGCTATGTAATGCCAGTCCACTTCCTCTCCCTCTTGCTCTGGCGCTCGACCCGTGCTAAGAGTGGCTAGGCTAAGCCACTCTTGCCCTACATACAGCCTAAACAGCAGATTACTGACTGTCCCTCTAATCCCATGCACCGGGGCATGTGCCACTGTCACCATGCACCAACCACCCAATCACCCTGCAGCCACCGTCACAGTGCCTGCTGTTCTGCTGGCTGTGCAACCCCCCACCCCGATCCCTCGCGTCTTCTCCGTTTCTGTTTTTTTGGTCACTCTTTTTGGATTTTCGGTTTTA